GAACGATTTTGTTGATTAAAAATGTAGATAGATAGAACTGAAAATAATTTTGTTAGACCATCAAATTAGTTATGTAGGAAATTTAAAAGCTTTGATAAATAATGCTGCAAAAAATATCGAAATTTTTGCAACTCTCATCATATTTGAGTTTCTCAATAATTATTTTGATAGTTTAACAAAATTATTTTCAGATCTGTATATAGATAAATTTTTAGATATTCCGGCAAAATCGTTTTTTCCATGTATGAATATATTATACTTTACATATATTCTTATAAATTAAACATATTGCAGCGATTCTTACGTTATAGTTACGTTACTGCTAAATAACTCAAGGATATTATTTCTCTTTCGAGAACCACAAATATTTCAGTCATGAACGTAAAAATTTTAACGTTGCATGATACGTTCTTGCGGCTGTATTTCCGACGCTTCAAATGGCAACTTGAGTGACTTATTTAGTTACGAACCTATGCGCGACCACTTAAAATTTATTAACTCGTAAATGCTTGGCCCCTATACCGTTACTGTGTTACGAATGTGCACATTCGATAAAGTGCACTTCATAAATTCATGTGTATGGTATCCTGCGGTCAATAAGCTTCATAATCGACTCGCCTCATAAAATCTAGCGGAATTTCCGCGATTGAACTGCAGCGCCAAGGCGTATCGTGATTCATCAGGGATTTCCTCACCAGGAAGATAACTGATAATTAGAGCGAACCATATCAATTGCTACTTGTAAAACACATTTACGTTCTTATAACATATACTTTCATTTCTAAGCGATTCGCCAATCCATTACAGTTTTTACATAAGTATAAGCTTACAGTCTTTCGAAATAATCTTCTCTTTGATCATTTCTTCACGAGATATCACAGAGTTTTATGCCTCTAGTTTTATTCGTCCGCGCGCGGACGATTTTTCGACTGTCGCGGGATCTTAAATCGGACCCGGAGGGAGGACAGGTAGTCCACAAAGATCGGGTCCGGCCAGCCGGTCAGTCAGGTAAGAGCAGACAGGTAAAGGAAAGAGGATTGGAGAGGGCTTCCCCTGAGAGCATCGACGATGGAATGCGAAAGCGTGGGTTCGGTTTGGCCGTAACGCGATCTTGATATACAGAGAAGAGTGCGGGATGATCGGGGACCAGGAGAGCTTCGGGGCCTATGTACGCACGAGTAACGGTACTCCGACGCGATCGCTCGATCCCAATCGCCTCTCTCGTAATATGTTCTCGATCGTCTCGCATCGTACACGCATCTGTACGTGTATGTTTGTATATGTGCGTTTTCGCCGTTGCACACAGCAGGAGAGCGCGTGTCTCGGCAGAGCTGGAAAGTGAACGAGCGTTGTCGTCCGTTGGCGTTTGCCTCGTACCGCTCGCTATCCTCGCGAAACGCCAAGAAAGAGAGAAGAGTGGACTTTCTCCTTGATCCCGAAACTATATACTGCCACGCGCTGAATCGATGGGATTGTTTTTTGAATAAATTTTTGGAGAATCATTATCTTTTGTAGACAGTGATAGAGACTCTGTTATAGAGTCTCTACTATTGTCTACAATGTGATTATGAATGATTTTGCTGAAATATCCATAAATTTTGCTACAGATCGGACAATAATTTTGTTAGGCCGTCAAAATATTTGTGTAGAAAACTTAAGCATAATGAGCAACAAATTTTAATACTATATTCTAGCAATCAACGACATTTTTTACTTTGATAGTCCAATAAAATTTTCAGTTCTATATCTAGCTAAATTTTTAGATACTTCAGCAAAACCGTTCCTTCCGTATATCTACTTCTTGCATATATCTCATTTTAACTTGTACTGTTTAACTTTATAATTTTATTTAAAATATAATAGAATGAGGAACAATATATATATATATATATATGTATATGTATATGTATATAAGGAGAAAGTACATAGGTATATCTTTCTCGTAGAATTTTGATAAAATTACTCATGGCTAGACTTGTTATCTCTAGTAGACAATAATGCGTTTGGTAGTAAGAAGAATTTTATTCCTTGTTTCCTTCGTCGGTTTTCAGAATTGTTGAACTCTTAGTTAACATCAATTGTTCTTTTCAGTTGAACTTCTTGCGTCGTTTATCTTTTCTCTTTTTCTCCCAGACATAGAAAGAAAAAGAGGAAAGATGAACGATGCAAGAGGTTCAACTGAAAAAAATAGACCTAATAATAGTAACTTGAGAAATGCTGTGCGTCTCAGTGTAAGTCTCAAGATCGCACACTGACTCGTTTCTACCAATGTAGATTAACCTTTATCTCAGTTCAAGTTATTTTTTTCTGTTCTAAGAACTAAAAAAGGCTGAATAGTAAGTTATACTGCGATTAAAGTTAATCTACATTGGAAATGGATGGCTACATGAATGGTGCATCTTCTTCATACAGGGGGAAACTGAATGAACCAACCCCGAGGCAGGTTGCTAGACTCGAGACCAAGTATGATGATGACTGACTTAACTCGAGTGGATAGAGAGCGTCTCGGGGTCCAAGGTATAAATAGCTGCTACCACTTACCGTCAATTCAGAGCGAGCGCAAGACTGTAGTTCCTCTGTATACAACGCATCACGCAGGGCATAACGAAGTGACCATTCATAATGCATAATGCAGCAAAAAAACATTCTTCAAGAGTCAAACGATGTTTTGCCCGAGAATAATGTATTAGATTAACCTATTAATTGCATTATATGATCATATAAAGTCGTCATATTAATTCAACATACAGATAAACAAACAATTTTTCTGCTTCGAATCAATTATTATGTCTAAGAATATTCAGATAATATTAATAAGGCATAAGCGTTCATCCAAAGGGTACCAGCGATAAAGAAAACAATGCGACGACTGAATTTCAATTATAAATTTGGTAGACTCACGGAATACGAAACGCGATACAATCAATACCGAGAAAGGGTCACGATCTCTAATTAGAAAAAATTCTGTTAATCGTTCCTAATTTATGTCCCGCGGCATGAAGAGATTTTGAGCCAAAAGAGAGCCGTCTCGGCACGCAGACACGAATAAGACAGATGATAATCGTCGCCTGCCCTTTCTTTATTGTCTCATTAAAACTGGCAGTAACTCGTGGAGGAATTGAATACCATTTTAAGTATCGCATATATAGAAGCTATATCGAAGCATATAATACGGTATGAAGCTATGTAGCTAACATATAAACCCAATGTTACGGAAGAACGACAGTGTTAACGACATTAATAGTATGTTATTTTGGAACGTATTCTTTTCTACTGCTGATCAATCGATCAAAAAAGATAAATATACCTCTAGTTGCATTTATCACGCCGCGTTTTTTTAACCCTCCGAAGCTGACGTCAAAATCTGAACACAGTTAACTGACGCTGAATATACCAGACCTATTTATGTTAAATCTAAATTAAAAAGCACTATTGATTTCAAGAAAATGACTGCTGTAAAAAAGAAAAAATTCTAAGTACATTTTAATAAAAATAATACAAATTTTTTCAGATGTAACATTTAAAAAATTGAATTGTTTGACATTTTTTACAAAGAAATTTATAATTGAATGGAGTCAGTAGATCTGCCGTTAATTCCGGAGGATTGACTTATATAGATATTTCGTTTCAATGTTAATATCTCTTACTACATTTATCTCACGTTGTTTCTAACTTAAACGTTTGGATACACATCTAAAGCAATGATATGTATATCAATCGATGAGTCAGAAACGTCATTGCATTAAAGAGATACGCTTGATTTGTCAGCCTTAATGGCGACGTAACGCTAGCAACTTGGTATGCTCAGACAAGCTTTATAAAACCCGAAGACGTCGTCTCGACGCCTCGTTAGCGGGTGGAGTTAAGTGCCCTCTCGTTAACGATACGGAACGGTCGTTAACGCGATAGGGAGCGGGTATGCCGGAACATTAACTATTACCGCAATGCTTCGATATGTAAAACCAATGAATAAACGGGGCAATAATCGCTGCGTACAAATACACGTGAAATTATCGTGAACGCGCTTTCATGAAAAAGTTGTTCAATTGATCGACACTCTGTGCTTATCGGCACTTTGATTAAGTCTGTTTTTTATTCCTACACTAGATTGTACTAGAAGACTGATGACGAATTCGATTAAACGTACTCAGTGCACACTGGTGTGCGTTAAAGCCGTCATATTATACAAATTGACGTAAAGATACGTTTAAATATAAAAATGGATTAAACCGTGAAATCTTCAATACATTTCATTGTATTAAGTAAAATATATAAATATTTTATAATTCGAAATATTTCACTTTTACACTTTTACACTTTTTCACTTTTACAGATTAAGTCAATGAACAACAATTTTAGCATGCATCAGTGCGTCCAACCGAATTCGCTGAAAATGGCCACAAAAAGGCGTATATAAATGTAAAATATATGTGCCCGTTTGAAATGTGTGTATTAGATGTGTGAATATATGTGCGATCCCGCTACACTTTGATTGGTACCGCCATTGTGTGGTGCCAATCAAAAGAAATGTTAGTGATAGTTAGATTCTATCTTTTAAGGAGACATTAGACAGCATTTCTAGAACTTTCTTGCTTTCACAAAATATCAAATATATATCTATTTCACCTAAAGTTCCAAAAGTGTATTTAATTCAGCTACAGAAAAAAAGATCTAAGATTAATATCCTATGTGCTTTAATTGTTTGTAATTGCTGTCTTCTACGATGGTTCATATAATAATGCCTATTAAACTATCGTGCAACGAATGTAAGAAATGTAGATTTTTCTCTGCTTATATTAACCTGTTTTTCAATGTCTCGATATCGAAGATCTTTAGTGCTTGTCCCGGTATTGCGTCTGACGCGCGACGTTCGTTACATAAAACCCGTTTAGGAGCGCGTAGCGGACCGCTTTATTCTCGCTCGGTCAATGCTATGCGGGGAATTATAAGGCGAACACGAAGATGGTATCGCACAGCGCCGTATGCTTCGCTTTACCAACCTTGACCGTTGGAGTGATTCTGCTGCGGCGATTGAGGTTGGCCCTGCGTCAGTATAATTTGACTCTCGAGCTGCTGGAGCTCAGCTTGGAGCTCGTTCAACTTGCTGTTCGCCTTCTTCACAATAGTCGCGACATCCGAGAGCGACTTGCGATCGGTCGCGACCTCCCTCAGCTTCTCCGCGCCAGCCTTTATCTTCAGCTCCTGCAAATAAAAAAAAATGTTAAAATGTTAAAATTCATAATCGCATTGGAACGGTCATCATCATCGCCATTTCGGTTGAAAACGACATCTTATACCGAGAAGTTTAATTGCATACATTTATTATAATCTCGGTCAATCGCTCGTTTAAAAAACATCTATCATCGTGCGTGCCGCTCCTTTATATAGCAAATGAGACGTAAAATCACGCACGTGCCCAATGATTATATCTTTCGATATATCCTTTGGTATTCTATTAGCAAGCATTAATATACAGTTGCCGCGAATTTTTGCAATGAGTCATCATGATTTTTACACGTTTAGTAAAAGTATCTAAAAATTTAGTGAGATTGACATTTGAAAATAATTGTATTGGACCATTTAAATAATTCTATTGAATGCTCAAACAGTTTATCAGAATATTAAAACTTTCTGCTACATTAACATGTTTAAGCGTCTCCATATAATTATTTTGATTCAATACAATTATTTTCAGATCTGTTATCATATTGAATTTTTAGATACTTCAGGAAAATTTCTGTTTCCGTTATTTTCCAACATAAGTTCATGTTGGTATATAAAGAATTATTCGTGTTTAATATTACGTCAATATTAGTCAGATAAAAATAATCATTCAAAAGATATTTGTTCAATAAAGAATAATGACTCATTTGAAACAAATGGTCTTAATTTCCGAGACATTATGCATGCATCTGTTCTGCAGTGCAGTTGATTCACAGAAAATGTTCTGGTAACAAGCGTATGAAAATGTGCTGTGTTAAGAAACCTATCGCATTATACAGTATTACACACGACTCTGTTTCGCAGTGGATCTATTAGCGGTAGGCAGCAACCAGACAACGTTAAACGAGCGTGTTGTAAAGGCGCTTAGTAAGTATCAAGAGATAAAACAAGAAGACAAAAGACAAAAAAGAGAGAGAAAGAAAGATGCTGCTATATAGCAAAACTTGTTTCTACGCGAGTTGCAGAAATGGTTGGACCACCCTCAAGTTTTCATTTGCAGCGTGATTTTTAGAACGCGACGTCCGGTGCATCCGGAAACCATAGATCATCGATCGTTTATTACCAAGATGTATGTCGGATATTGATTAAACTAGATGTAGGTACGCATGAAAAACGTAATCACGTACGATCTGCAAATACTCCTATCTGCAATATCCTCTTGCAATCTCTTTAAGTATCGAGGATTTGCAATTGCAAATTTCCATCTAAATTATGGGATCGATTTAAGGATGTATCAGTATCATCAGGTATGTGTCTATGTGTGTGTAGTAAGTCTGCAAAAAGTGACTGGAATTGGAAATTTATATCTTCCAATAATACCATATAAAAATAACTGAACAAAACAGCGCATTATCAAATAAATACGGAACAGTTCAATAAGATCAATATTTGATAATATAATTTTATTTTAAATTCAAATGAAGATTTTCTCATTTTATCTCAATTATTTTTTAAAACCAGTCTACTTTTTACTTAAATAATTTTTTATCTAGCTTCTAAATTGCCACCAAACTTTTTGTATTGTTTTTTCAAATGTAATATAGAAAAATCCGTAACTTTTCATAATCTTTTCATTATATAATATTAAAAAAATGCTATATATGTTTTAGGATCTCCATAATAGGAATACTTTTTGTGACTAAGGGACTATATGAGTAAGTCCTGGGGATATTTTTTCGTTAGCTGTTTTAGAAGTTTTACGATTTTCAACTATCTATATGTATAAAAAATTATAACATTTAAAGTTAGCATAAATATAGTACGATAATTAGCCTATATGAATAAAACAAAACTGTGAAGATAAAATTATTTCAAATCATTTTCCCAGGACCCACATGCTCCATTACGAGTTAAATTAGCCCTATATAAAAATCCTTTCATTATGGGAACAAATACCCACGTCTGTCATAAAATATTTATTACTAGAAACAAAAACAGGCAAGCGGAGAACATTAAGATAGCAAGGAGAGATTAATTTCAACGCATCGAAATGAAAAAAAAGATGCATTAGGCTAATTATTGGGTAAGAAAAGAGAGTGGTACAGAACAAAGATAACGAAAAAGACGTAGAGTGCTGACTATGCTATCGTGTGTACGGACGAAGAAAGAGACAGCTTTACTGCAGTGAACGAAGGATAAGCGAAAACCCGACATACCTTGCGTATTTCTCGGCGTATATGTTCTCGCAGCACGTCAAGACGTGCCGGCAAGGGCACCTGGTCACTGCCAGCCACTCCATACTTGCTCGACAGTTCGTAAAGAACTGGGTGCCTGATGTAATCGCCCTGAAACAGATACAAAGTTCAATCCTGATTATTGATAGCTAATGTAGCGATTGGTTTCGGGCAAAAGAACGCGCAATAAGGACGGGCAGTTCGGACGATTAATCACTTTCTAATTAAACTTTCTAATTAAAACGAGAGTTTTTCCTTCTTTTGTGTTCTACAGGAATTTCCACTTTTATATAGATACGAGCGAAGCGCTATATCTGTATTTAATCATTTTTTCCATTCTTATGCCAAGATTCATATCAATTAATAATCAACATCCGCACTGTACTCGTTTCCGCGCACTGAACGTATATAATCTTTCGGCATTACGCGCGAGCCCGTGTTAATCCTTATAATAATAATAATAATCACAATATGATCTCTCGCATTAATGTGCGCCAGAGTTAAGATAACACCAGGCGGAAATTACACCGTAAATATCAACGATCAGAGAGGGTATCGTCAACGAGCCGAAGGGAAATATCGCGGAATACATCTCTTTAACCGGAAATCGTCTGGCTCGTATTGGTGTGGCCTACTCGAGAGATACGGATATAGACGCTAGGCAAACACAACACGGAGCAGGAGAAAGTATCAGTCTCCTGCGGTCTCGCATCGAATGCCGGCCATCGAAATAGCATTATCCATTGTGATGAATGAACGTTGGTTAGTTGTCAATCCGCGTGACGATACAATTGCTTCGTCCATGGAAACGTCCAAGGCTATTCGATCAAACTTCTAACGGATGTATTAGTGACCTACTTCGAATGCACAGCGTGCGACTGCGAGTCGTGTCTTTGAATCGCGAGTAAATTAGAGGCCGCGAGCCTTAAAAGTTCATAAGTTGTGTTCCAAAATTAACTGTCAGTACTGAAAATCTATAATCCACGTAACGTAAGCTATAGATTTTTATACAAGCAGTAAATTTTGGAATACAACTGTAGTCGGATTCGTATTTTAAGATCGTCTTAAGTAATGTCTTAAGATGCACTGAGAGAAAAAAAATAGTTGTGGCAATTATAAAGTACAATTCTAAAATTGAAATACTTGTAACTACTAACAACTAGTTTTAAAAAGTAATAAGAACTAAAGTAGTATGAAAATATAGTATTGTATTATAAAAATATAATTATTCAGTACTTTAGTTCTTATTACTTTGTAAAACTAGTTGCAAGTAGTTAAATTATTAGAGTTGTTAATTTAGTAGTTGTCAAAACTATATTTGAGTGTGCTAATACAACTCTCTGAATTGGTTCATTAATATTTTAAGACTTTACTTAAGACAGTCTTAAACATAATATCGATTAGAGATATCGACCTTCGAATTCAAATTGGATTGGAATTTAACTAATCAGAAGAAAGAGAATCAATATCAAGTTTAGTAAACTTTGCTTTTATTGATCAAATTCCAATCCAAATTTAAACCTAATCCATAATTTGATACATTTAACTCGATTTTGCGCTAATGTGCTTTCTTATCAAGATGAATTAACTATGTCCAAGCAGCTTTGCAATTGTTGTAAGATTCTTTAATACGATTGGTTTATACACTTAGATCCAGTGAAGCGTTAAAGACAAGATAAATCACATTAAAGAATTTTAGAATTACAAAGCTGCTTTTTCTACTAAATACAGCTATTAACTTCAATCTCTTTAATTTACTTTTTATCTTCTTCTAGTTCTTAGAAAAAGAGTAAATTAATTTGAGAATAAAGTTAATTTACATAGATATAGAAATAGATCTAAGGAAGAAATAAGTTTGTTTTCACCAATGTAGATCAATTTTAATCTCGGTTCAATTTACTCTCCATCTTTTTCTAATTCTTAGAACTAGAAAAAATGAAGATGAACCGAGATTGAAACTAATCTACATTGGAAATAAGAAATTTTTCTCGATATAGAACCGACACTATCGGCGGAAACATACCGCACACGGCGTCACGCAAGTCCGAAGGTATCTAGAGCTGGTCACTTTGGTCAATGGGATGCATTTGCACACAACCGATTTCCTCTTCTTGTCCAACCCGATAAACGACATCTTTATTCCGTGAAACGGCTTCGCACCGAAACGACCAGGATACTTTCGTCTCCTAGTCGCGTGTGCGTTCTGTCGTGCGAGACATCGGCAGACAAACGTTTTAATATCTCGTCATTAAGATTCGCACCGAGTAACAAACAAACGAGCTTCCATCATGATTAATCACTGCTGAATCATTGTCACCGGAACGATAATCTCCCGGGCTGCAATCATGCGGGCCCAGGTAAACGTCAGCCACCTGTTGCAGCGAAAATCTACGATATCACGTCCGCACGCCGTATTTCCGTGACTCCGCGCACTGTCGCTGTTACACGACGACCTAACTGTAAAGCTCGCTCGCACCCGGAGCGCGCGACACGCTCCTCGAATTTGAGAAGTAGAACTGACCAAGAAGACAGCGCCGACGCCGTTATCTCTTATCTCAGCCGCGCCGATAACAGCGTTACTCAACTGTAAAACGTGAACTTATCGTTTCCTTACGATGCTAATATGAAGAAGGTATCTTAAAAAAAAAAACAATTAATCGTCAAGTCACAAATCACTCATAACTCGGTGTCATCCGATCGATCCATTATTTAGAGGTTACATAATAAATTATAGGTTTATTCTTTTTCGAAGAAAGTTCTAAACTGGTGTACAAATACAAAGAACAGAACTCATAATTCAAAATAAATAATCATACGTATGTGAAATTAATGTAATCGTGCATCAATTTAGCACACTTCTGCTACATATTTTCTTGTTGTAATCGAGTAATGTCAATTTTGATGAATTGAATTAACTTCGAGAAAAATATCTGTGAATAGTGTGAAAGCATGTGACTACACTGTAACCACATTATTGTACAACAAATAGCATCACAAGATTCAAGTTTCTGTTGAAATGATAACTGTTGAAAGTATTGGTCGAAGTTATCGCATTGAAATTAGAACGTTTCACAATTCGCAATCGTGCTAGTTACGCAAATTCTCCTTGTAATAGACATTGTCAGACAGGCATAGGAAGTGACGACAACCTCCCGCGACTCTGCCTTCGGGAATAATGAAAGTATATCTGGATGTTAATTTAATTTTCGCTGCGTGTGCGAAAACGTGCGCACAGCCGACACTAACTGACGCACGATCTATTTTCATACATTCCACGATAGTCTTCGGGAGGTCAACAGACGTCGCGACGTCAGGGGAACCCTTTTCGTCCAAACGAGCACTTCGCATGAGGAAATCGGGGAAAACTGTGAAAGTGGCACGAGAATTATTTTCACCTTTACCAAACCTCCAAACAAACCATCATGCAACGCCAAAAGAAGACTTCAACGTCAGCGTTGAATTACTGATTCATTACTCATTCATTATTCATTCATTGATGTATTATCATCGAAACCGTAGTTTTAATTCGGAGCGTAAATGGCTATGAAATTCGTGCATAAAATTAATTTATTACACCAGAGATGGTTTTCAAAAATTTGTCAAATACAATCAAACAAAATTTCAGTAAAATCAAAGAAAAATCGCCATTATAGATTTCAACAGATTCTTTTTTCCCCTCTAAAACTTTTTCAATCCCCTTTTCACAGAACTCCAGCTTTTTTTATCTTATTTATTTAGCTTTTTAGAACTTTATTTCTCCCATAGTAACAATTTCGCTTCAATTTAACTGAAATTTTGTTTTTGCTGTATTTGACAAACCTTTGAAAATCAACATAATGTAACAGATTAATTTTATATATGAATTTTGTAACAGTATACAAGCTCAGTTTGTATACAAAGCCTGGTGGAAAAGCGACAAATCTTCCACATCATTTTCATGTTCTTCGTTTTACTGTAAAATTGAACTTTAAAGAAAGAAACAATTGATATTATCAACTATTAAAATATTGTTTTCTGTAACAATCGTATGATGTTCTAGCATTCTATTCGCTGCAAAATTCGAGAAAGTGTCGGTGAGCGATCTAATACGAGAATTGACTTTTCAAGACAAGAATCGACATGTCGACTTCACGATCTTCCGATGATCATCGAGCGAATTCGAGGTCTATAAAAGCCTTCGCCATAAAATATGTATAATTCGATTGGATGCACTCAGAAATTACCTATCACAATTGTTTGGAACCGATTCGATTCTCCTTGAAATATTTTGTTAAACACAAAAATTTTCAAAGATATATATTTTTTTTTTATATCGATCCAATTTGGGATTTACGTAATCAAACAATCCCTCAAAAATAATTATAACCAATCAATTATCAACAAAACGATAAGATATATAAAAAATTTTTTAAATAAAACTGAGAAACCCCTAACCAAAATTACATACACTAATGCATACTAATGCCCAAATAATGCACAGGTAATACTCAACTTTTTATGTCCACTAATGCCTTAATAATGCCTATTAATATCCTAATATCCATTAATGCCCGCTAATTTTTTCTTCTAATAATGCACAACCTTATATTGTTTATTATAATACAATTCTCTTAAGAGGAAAACTTGGTTTAGAACGCTGAAAAGTAGCTTTTTTTGCGAATTTTTTATAAATGAATCATGAAGCCGATCTTCTTAAAATTTTAGGGGTGATTTATAGTATAGGTATTTCAACACAATACAAAATAATTTTTTAATATGAAAATAATGAATACAATAATAAGTTACATATTAATCATTATTGTGCTTCGGCACAAATGTTGGTAATTGGAGTGTAATGTTGGAGCCTGTAATTCTTGCCTGAATAAAAAAAAACCAAAAATTTTTTTAAATTAGATATTTTATCCTAAATAAACTAAAAAAAAAAGGAGAAAAATATCAAAGTGTAAGTGCAGAAATAATTTATACTAATTTTTTAACAAATAATGTTTTTAGTTCATTTAGGATGATTGACAATTATGTAACTAAAAAACTTTGGACGAAGTCGATTAGTCAAATAGGTTTTAAGTTATCTTGCATGCAAATTTTGAAAAAGTGCTTTTGAAAAAACGCGTTTAAAGTTTTCGGTATCGCTGTATATCTGCGCGACGCGTACCTGTTTCTCAGGCTATAACTACAAAAATATTTCGAATTTCGATCTAAAACTTTACAAGTATATTTTTAAAGAATAATACTAATAAGTATATTTTTAAAGAATAAATCGATTAAAGTAAAAAAAAACGAAAATTTTGATTCTTTAAACCAGGTTTTTCCCTTAAATAATGCTCCAAATCGCCTCAATGCCCTCAAGGGGCATTACTCCTCGAATAAAACTTTTTTAGTTTTTTATATACTTATAACTTTCTAAATTTTAATAATATTTTGAAAAATCTCCATTCCTATTAAATTTAAAGAGATTGTTTTTAAACTTAACCCCTTAAATTTTTAATTGTGAATGTCAATATAAAAAAAATAAGTATCTCTTAGATTTCTGTATTTAACAATATATTTAAAGAAAAATCAAATCGGACAGTTGTGACAGGTCGCATTATCAGTGCACATTGATACACATTAAAGCTGTACATAAAGATATGTGTTTAATATAAATATAGAAACCGATTAAATATTATATATTTTATAATTCGAAATATTTGCATTTACTTTTACCCTCAGATTAAATCAAATGACTTTAATATGCATTAATGTGCACTAATGCATCCAACTAAATTTCTTATAAAACCTCTATTCTATAATTCTTAATGATAGTATCATTATATTGTCATTACGCAACTTTTTTTTATCATACATAAAACCTGTGTAACGACAATATAAGGATATCGTTGAGCTTTAAACACAATTGAAAACAGGTAATAGAAACAGAGAACAGGTTTCAACCTATCAGAAATGTGTACATCAGAATACACGATTTCTGACAGGATAAAAAATCTATTATTCTCTGTACCTATAGCCAGTGCTTTTCAATTGTTAGGGCGTTATCGTTGTTAAGAATTACAGAATAGGGGCCTAATAAGATCTATTTGAGCGGTGGCATTCCTCGGACGTCCCATTCCCGCGTCTCTTGTATCTCCTCGCAGGAGAAGCAGGTGTTATGAGAAGGAACCGGCGCGAACTCAGTCAGGACCGGTTACACCGACGCCGATTAGCGCCAACCGGCCACCTTCTTGTCGTCTTCGTCAGGTAAAATGGTAACGATTGAAGAGCGAGATCGGTACCGTCACAAGCTGAAATCCTGGCGTGGATGTACAAAAGAATCTCATTTTTCCTTATCGAAAAACAAACTTGAATATTGCTGCATGTGAACTTCGGTATGGCAAAATTCATCTCCGAGAATTGGATCACTGGAAATAGAATCCGGTTGCATTAATTGAAATTCTAGTGAAAAATGGAGACATCAGTATTTTATAGTTAAACCTATTCTAATTCTAGTCGAGATAACCGATGTTCAATCTTGACCAAAATTCTAATTGATAGATGTAATCAGAATCTATTGGTTCGTTCATTTTCAACCAGAAATTTATCTCTTTTGCGATTCAATGCCGGCTGGATAGGCTTAAGATTAATCGCCATTAATTTTACAATATCACGAATACATAACTTAAGAGAGTAATCTAACTAAGCGGAATCGAAAACCAAAAATCGCAACTTGGCAACCGAGTGTGTGCCAGTTTAGAGATACCATACAACAGAGTCTGCATTGTTAGATATCAAAGGGACAATGACAGTCCAATCCTTTGAATAGAATATTTTGTAAAATTTATTTAACATTTTCGAAATAACCGTCTACATTAACGTATATTTAGTAAGTGATAAATTAAATTTGAATCAAATTTAATATATTTTCTTGAGCTAAATTATTTAACTTTATTGTATTTTAGTTAAATTAACATATTGAGTGAAAATAGTAGCGATCTACAAAAATAATACGAAATAACATAAATTAGGTATAATTTGATCATAAATTTAACAGTATGGCCATGAGATGACAAGTAGTAAGTTTAAATAGCCCGTCGTTTTTTTCAGCTTTAATAAGTTAAAATGAGGTAGCAATTATAAAAAAAAAACGGTATATACACTTTTCTTTCTCACTCTTGTTTTGACAAGTGGCCAGACTGTTATAAAGTCTAGTGCTGATCATATCGACGCGACGTCGGTTAATTAACCCTCGTTAACTGGATTTTTTTCTCTGCTATACAGGTGGCAACGTAATTTCGAAGGGAACAACGAATGGAGTCAATTAGGGTTGCTTTCTTTTTAAGAAATGTAGTCGATACTTTCGATGCAAATTGATACACGTCGCTTTCCATTTATAATTTTGTTTAAATTCAAATTATCGACACTTTTTGATTCAGCGAAGAGTCAGGAGAAGAGTCTGAGTATATTCAAATGAGTTTGATCGATTGAAAGATATTAGAACGTAAACACGGTGAGAATTATCCAGACACCAGTGTTAAATCTAGAGATATTTTTTAGAGGATATATTTGTAATATACATACAATGGAAAACACACCGTTCGACAAGTTTTAAGCTAATTGAAATTTTGTAAGATTAGATAGATATTAAAAATGTGCACACACTACGCATATGGCGTTGCATTTAACTGTGGCAAAATGTATTCGACTGATATGTGTCGATTTAAGTTTCCTAAAAGGAAAGCAGTCTTTTAAGACCAGACGGTCAACGTTGAAGAAACGGGGGCTGGCCCAAACGGCAAGGAAATCGGACGCATATCAGGTGTGCGCGGCCCGTCACGCCTGGTTTGCCACCGACCGAGAACTCGCGATCCACACGAAAAACCGACCGCGACGGTCCCCGTCATCGATGGGAAAGCCCAGCTTGTGCCTCGGGGTACAAGTGCATGTGCGTCGCGGACGAACGAGAGCGAGCGAATGAGAAAACGATGGAAAGAGAGGTGAGCACGACGAACCAGGAGGACAGGAATCCCGACTCGGAGACACGCGTCTCCCAGGAGGAGACGTGCACGATTATGGCGTCCGAGTAATAACGCACGTCGCACGGGATAAACGCACGTCGGGCACGCGCACCAGTTCGCAAAGAGAGCGTGGAGATGGGAGAGCGCGAAGTGCCTCGCACGGCCTGCCGCCGCTTTCCATCCGTCCTTTGTGCGCGTCGTTGAGCCGACGGAACGAGAGGTCCATGGCGCGTTTGATCGCGCGGCTTGGAATTATATCGCGCTGCGTGCGTCGCGTCGCGTCGGCGCCGTGCCCACCGCCGTACGGCGCCGCATCTCACGTCGCCACTCCGCCAGAGGTACACTCGTTATCCGAACGTGAAATCCCGTCGAGCACGTATTCCGCCAGCGGACGAAACAATCGACGCGAGTTCGCTCGGCCGATCGGCGACGAAACTGTCGCGCACACAGCGAATCATGCACTACTACGCGGGAGGATGAATGAAAGACGCGCGGCGCTCGCCAACAAAATACGGACACGACCACATTCCACCGCACCGGACTAGCGACTGACTGAAAATGCCGAGCCAATCGCCGCGCGAGGCGCGTGCCGCGCGTGCGCCGATCCTTCGTCGTCGCGGCCGACGCAAGCTCGCACGACCAATCGCGCTCGTCGTTACCTGCACTCTAGAATCCCGCGCCAATCACGAGTATTGGCGGGACGCTAAATCCCAACAGTCTTTCTGAAATTTTAACAAAGAAATCTTTTGCTAAATCCGTCGTTTAACTCTACATTACTCACACAATTTTTTTTTAATTACTGCGTGAAACGTTTCTGATATTCTATATCTCAATTTTCATTTTCTTTGATTTACAATTAAAGATTGATATACTTAATAAAGAAATGTAAAAATTTTTTTTAATTATAAAACAATTTACGCTAAATATAATAATGTGTATAAATAGGATTCATTTAGCGAATTTATAAGGCGAGAGTTCCTCTATTCTGTTCAAATTCTGTAAAAAAAATTATTACATGAGCCGAAAATGTTTAAAGAAATCAAGATACTTATTTTGTATTTATAAAAATTCAAGCATACTCGTTTTCGTACACTTCATTGCCATAAATATATACATTACATATACAATATACAATATTTTTAGAAATCAATAATGTAATTATTGAGAAATTAGTGTCTGAAGAAGATCCTCAGGTGTTCTGGAAAAGAGACCGCTAGGATTTTGGTATAAGTTCTTCGGGTCATGGCAAGCGTCAAACAATTGCCTATAGATAGCTCCGATTACTTCAAACGATCGTTTCTGAGTAATCATGCGATGATTATTGCTTTGCAGTAAACTTATTTGCGGTAGCAATAAGACATCCGGCATCACTAGAAATGCCTCCAATTTATTCTGCAAAAAATCAGCGTCTTTGATGGTATTTATATGTTATTTTATTTTATGAATAAATTACTTACAGTGAACTCTTTCACGCTGAGGGCATCCATGCCCGGTATGGACGAAAGTGGTCCCTGATCGTGTCCTTGCAGGATGGTGTAAATTGAGCCAAGGTTTAAATGCGCTACCAAAGAACTAGCTTGCTCCGACGTAAGTGTGTCGATTTGCGCATCGGATTGTGCCTGGATTATTATAGTCGATTGCAATCATAACAATTTACAAATAGACATCAAATGAAGCAATGTGGAAACAATTTCAGTCTATTACGTCTGACTCTAGTGTGTATAAACTAACCAATCACCTGTAACCTTTCTAATCTTTGATCCATATACTCGTACAGTGCCAACGTTGATTGTATCTGATGCATACAATTGAGAAGATAAACGGCCATATCCACGGTTGGCAATCTGGATGCTGTTTCATTAACTTCTTGAAGTAATGGATCGATGATGCATGACACAATCTGCCAATCATTAAAACATAAAATAGATTTTTTCCAACAAAAAGATGACAAATATTCTTATTGAATATACCTGTAACATATCTTTTTCTCTGTCTTCAGCTATACTAGCGACAGATAATATTTCATTTAAGAGCGATAATAGTCTAGAGACTGACGGAGCAGGGACTAAATCACTTCCGGGAGGCTCCGCACGCTCTCCGAGAGCGATTCTTGTTTCTCTCTGCAGTCTACTTAGAAAACTTTTTTCACTTAAAGCTAATAAATCCAATAATGTTTGATCTAAGATACTATCGGGTATAACTTGTTCAGTAATAGCGCGGTAGAATCTGATTAGAGTTGTTATCGAATATAATACTGTCGCTGGCGCCTCTGTAGATATAACATGCTCTATTCTTGATTTTAGAGGATGACATAATCCTTCTGTAATGTTACTTAATGCCTGTTTCACCTGGTCCGACACATCTGCAATAAACAGATTCATATATTTAAACAAAATATATAGATTCAGTATATTTAAACAAGACTCAAGATGGAAAAAAGAGAGCTTCTTACCTGTTTTATCACAGCCTTTCACTAAAATAAGAATATTCTCCTTCTCTACAGGAATTACTTGATGTAGCCATGCAAGCATATCACCGACATATCGCTTAGGATCATTGGCATGCATTTCTATAGGATTAGGTGTTCCAAAACTCTCTCCTAATGTTAGCGCATCTATAAATGATCCCACCAAGGCAGTTCTCCTAGCTGTACAGTACTCATCTAGAATATACCTAGCAACATATGTTAATTATGATAAAAATAGCAGATTCAAAGAAGCAATACCTGCATTCAAATGTTAATCTTACTTGAATAACACTGGTCTATCTTGTAGCTTATTCATGGCTTTAATGAGTAACGGCGCCAAACGTTCGTTTTCTATGTTTTTACACTGAGTTTGCGTCCATCGATATAACCTTTCAAGCGCAGATTCTTGTAACAATGTCATTCTTTGCATAATATCCAGAGCCAATGTTTGATAACCGGACTGCATCAGTACTCTACATTTACCATGAACATCCTAAATGTCAAATCACATAAAAAGGAGAAGAAATAAATATCATTATTGAAAATAAATCATTTTAAAAGATAATAAAACAGCCGAGCTGATTATTCGTATGTTTGTATATTATAAATATGATAAATATAAAATAGTAAATTAATAAACAAGGTCACATAATTTAATAAAACAATGTTTAATTTTCATATATTTATCATATATTTATGTTTATAATAGATAATAGCATGAACTAGCTCAACTCATAAGCTCCTATTTTATTATCTTTAAATTGTTATTCTTACAATTTAATTTGCGTTTTAGTTGTAATTATTTAAGAAGCTTTCTATGTAGAGCTTCCTACTAACCTGTACTTTACTAACTACAGAAAAAAATTCTTCCGTTATAGGCGACTCCCTGGCTGATCCATGCAGTACAGTCAATTCAGATGGAGTCAATTGAAAATTTCTGATAAATGCACTTGCAACTTCTTGCTGCATAGTTAAGATTTGACTGGGAATAAAGATAAATAACAAATTTTTTAGAAATACGAATGTGTCATTGTACAAACATACAAATATCTTTACCTTTCACTCTGAAGCTTTGAGGTCTGCTCAATCAGTTGTGAAGTTTGAGCCTTCGTAGCTTGCAAGCGATTAGTCATAGATTGCACAGATGTGTTCATTGCTAGAACATTTTGATAAACATCGTCTAAGGAAGCTTTTACTTCCCTGAATGAGGCTAAGAATTCTTCGTTTATCGCCAGACTCCGTCTCTCTATTTTGCTACGCAGGTTTCGGCGAGAATTCAATGTGTTCTCTGTGAAGAACGTTGACAACTCTTTCAAGGCTTCTAACGTATCCTAAAATACAGGAATAATTATTAAAGTACTATGTACTCAACTCACTGTATGCAGAATAAGATTTTAATATAATTGGTTTGTTTTTCACAATTTATACCTTATCATGTTCCACCCTAGATTCCAATAATTTATTGACCCTCCGCACTAAGGCGGAGTTCATGTTTTTCTCGCTCATTGCAGACTTGGATCTTTAAGTTTATCTGTAGTATATAACCTGTATATCAAAATTAGTCAAACGGTACACGTCACTTGAGAGATGAAGAACAGAGCAGTTTTTTTCGATGACCGCAAAATGTCCCTGCGCACTATACTGCCCTCTGAAGAAATGGATGTCAACTATGCAACGTCCATTTTCTTTGCTGTATTCCTAAGGGTATACTCGCACAACTTACATAAACGCATGAAAATTATCCAATTGCATTTCTCCTATAAGGTGCATTTTATATTTAAAAAACATAATCTTGGAGTTACTAAATAATTAAATTTTTTGGATAGCCGAAACTTGAACGGTTTTTCCTTTTGTAGTTTTGAATGTCAACTTTAAGATATTGAAACATATTTATCCTTTAAGTATTTTTGCTTCAGAGTTTAACATTTTTGTATAAAAAAAATACAGTTTTCTCATTTTGTTAACTATATTTAGTTAACAATTTATATACAATTTATTATAAATATACAACTTTACAAATACTTTCTAAAGATGTCAAAATATATGTAAGAACCGTTTAATAATTTTTATATACTTGCAAAAGTGATGAAAATTAAAGTATGTAATTTAAATAAAAAAATTAAAAGAGTTATTTAGTATTAATTCATTATTTTAAATACTACACTTCTGACTTATTTCTTATTTAATATTTTATATAAGTTTCCAAAAACTATTTTATATCTTTTATTTTAAACAAGTTTTTGTACCTAGTTTTTTACATATTCCTACGATTTTATATTTTAAATAAGTTTCTGGAATTTATTTTCTATTTTTTATTTTAAATAATTCGTATGTTATTTTATCAAGCCATTGGCGTTATACGTAAGTTTAAGAAAGAATTCCCAAAACACGGATAATTTGCAGTAATAGTAATATCTTAAATTAATTTATTACTAGTATGAATAACTGAAAAATTAAATAATGATTAACAAGATGTTTAGTACTTTTAGCCAAAGCTATATTCAGCACAAATTGTTTCACGGTATTAAGAAAATTTGCATGTATCTTATATATAAAAAACATATATAGAATATTTTATCAACCTTTATTGAAGTATGAATCATTAAAAAGAATTATGAAAATTAAGACATAATGTTGGAATATCAAAAATATCTCAAGCGAACAATTACTAATTCGTTTAAGAGAACCATGCAAGTAATATAGGATTGTGCCCGAGATGCCACAAAGCAAAACGCGAAATACACGGCGATATCCGTTTGTCAAAATCATGTAAAATATGAAAAATATAATTGAATAAATCATTGAATATTTTTCGTCGTTTGAATACGCGATAGTTGGGTGTAATCTAAAAACATCTGGCGAAAAGCTCGGTAGGGGAAGGGGGTCACTGGCGACGAAAAGCGGTGGGACGCGGAGCGAAGGCGAAGGGGGGCAAGGTGCGGTGGTCGATCGTCATCACTTCGGCATTCGCTCGGCGACTTCGCGGCGAGATGGACGTGTTGCGTGAGTCGCTTCGCGTGTCGCGCATTAATCTGCGAAAATTGGATATTCACAAACGCGAATAATTGATGATTAATTAAGGATGCTCGAACAGTAATATTGCTCAAAATGAAGGTGTGTACTCAGAGTTATATCTCAATCTTTATTACTCTCTTTACATTCAAATAAAGATTAATAATAAGATTAATAATATACATTCTTTAAGTAAAGATAAACGCAAACATTTTTTAAATTATGAAACAGGACTAAATATAATAATGTTATAAATATAATTCGTATTATACATTTACAGATATATAAATTAGATATCCAAGAACGATATTCACAGTCCGTTCTTATTTCGAGACTGTCTTAAGTAATGTCTTAAGACATTAATACGGCCCTCTAATTCGTGACTTCTTAAAATTATATTTAAGACGGTCTTGAATATGAATACTTTGACTGTGAATATCGGCCTAAGATATAGAGTTGTGCGCGTAACGAATTCAAAAAATAAAACATAAATCGTATAATAAAGCATCGCGTAATATTCATCGAAGAATATTAAAACGTAATGAATAGATTATTTTACAGATTTTATAATAGGCGTTAACGTTAGTATTTCGACAGTTAGACGGTTGGCGCGTGACCTTCGGTTGGGGATGGTACGAGGTGGCACGGAACGGCGCGTCATGTTTACGCCTAGTTATCGCGCAGTTATTATTCCCTTACCGAAGCTCGTATAAACAACGTAGCTGTGTCGCGGCTTCTTTTCACATTATTTTTTGAAATCTTTTTCGCGAAGAATGTCTAATATAATACGAAACGTTGTATTATACTTTATCAGTAATTATTCATACTAATCGTATTATGTGAATATTCATAAAATACAACATTTCGTATTATATTTAGCACTTTTTGCGATTATTATATGTTTCAAAAAGAAATGTAAAAAAGAGCAGTATGCGACACAGCTACTTGTTTGTACGAACGATATCACACGAGTCATAGAAAAGCAATGTTGATACGAATACTCTCATGCAAAAAAGTCGCAATTCCTGCTTTCACAATTAATACAGTTTAATAATTTAATTAATTTTTGTTTTTGTGCATCTTTCGATCCATTAAAAAATTAACTGTAACTTTGGAACAATTAATAAAAGAAAACATTTCTCCCTTTTATTAATCTCTAGCCTTTTTTATTGACTCTAATCATATCTTATAGACATCATTTATAAAAAAAAAATTCAGCCCTTTTATCTGCTCTGACTTTATTTCGCAATGATAACGAATTGCAGATGTGTGTTTGATGTTCGTTTCTAAAAGTTAACCGCATAACTAATTATAACCGCAGTTAATTGCATAATAATTACAAAGTAATATGTAGATAATAGCTATATATTATATTTTTCAGATTATTTTCCCTCTCATGGGTACACCTTGACGTGGTGAGGGGGATCAGTACCCAGAGGATATTTACACGAAAAGAATGGTTTTTCTCAAATATCTAAAAATTTTCGGATATGTCTGAATGTCTAGATAAATTTTTAGATATTGAGTAAAATCGTTCTCTTCGTGTAAAAATCCAACGGGGGAAGTAATGTACCCTCGTCGCCGATTTACTTGAAAATAAACGAACCGCAGCCG